GATCTTTTCTTAGGCTTTTTTGCTTTTTGAGTTTTGTTGAAGAAATTATTTTCTACACCAAGTTTACAAAGATATATTTTCTACCAAGGCTGAACTTTTGCTTTTCATGTTTAGATTTTTAATTTACCTGGAATGTAATATTTTTAGGGCATAAAGTAGGGATCTACCTTAATTTTTCTTCCAAATGGAAAAGTCAGTTGTCCCAGGGCCACTTTGAAGGTCTATGTAGTAGTTTCCTAGGGCTGCTGTAACAAAGTACCACAAATAGGGAGACATAAAACAATAGACATTTATTCTCTCACAGTTCTGCAGCTGGAAGTCTGAAATCAAGGTGTCGGCAGGACCACACTCTCTCTGAAGGCTCCACGGGGGAATCGGTTCCACGCTTTTCTCGTAGCTTCTGGCTGTCAGTCCTTGGTGTTCTTTGGCTTGCAGCAGCATAGCTTCAATTTCTTTTTCTGCTGTCAAACGGCATTCTCTTTTCATGTGTCTGGGTCTGTCTCTTCTCTACAGAGCCAGCTTGAGTAACCCTTCTTGGTCCTGCTCTGCCCTGGCCCTCAGGCCCAACCTGATTGCCCCAAACCCAGTGCATGCTGGGCATGGTGCATGCTGGGACTCCGGGTGGGCCCCCTACCCTGTTTCCTTTTAGTGCCTTGTTGCACTGGCTAGAACATCTGAGACAATGTTGACTACAAGTGGTGAGTAGACACCTTTGCCTTGTTCCCAATCTTAGGGGGAAAGTGCTCTTTATTTCACCATTAAGTATGATCTCAGATGTAGGTTCTTCCATAGATGCCCTTTATTAGACTGAGGATGGTCCCTTTAATTCCTAATCAATTGAGAGTTTTTAATCATGAATGAGTGTTGAATTTTTTCAAATTCTTTTTCTACATTTAAAAAAGATTAAATGGTTTTCCTTTTAGTATGTTAATATGATGAAATACATTGATTTTGCATGCTAAAACCTTTCATTTCTAAGATAAACTCCACTTGACCATGATGTACTACTATCTTTTTATAGATCGCTGTTTCAATGTGCCATTTTTTAAAAAGAATTTTTGCATCTATGTTGAGAGAGACTGATCTATGATTTCCCTTTCTCATGATGTCTTTGTCTGGCTTTGGTGTGTGGTTGTTGGCTCATAAAATGAGTTGGAAAGTGTTTCTTCCCAGAAGAGCTTGTGTAGAATTGTATCTTCCTTAAATGCTTGGTAGAATTCGTTGTGCCATCTGGGCCTGTACTTTTTTTGTGTAGGAAGTTTGTCAGCTACAAATTCAATTTATTTAATAAGGCTATTCAAGTTTTTTCTTTCTTCTTGAGTGAGTTTTGGTAATTTGTGCCTTTTCAAGGACTTTTCTCATTTCATCTAAGTTGTCGAATTTATTGGCATAATGTTAAAATTCCATACTGCTTTAACTGCCTCCTCCAAATTTTGATATATTCGTTCAGTTCAAAATATTTTCAAATTTTCCTTGTTCCTCTTTAACTCGTGGCTCATTTGAGTATGTTGTTTTATTTCCACATACTTGGGGATTCTTCAGATATTCTTATTAGTGATTTCTTATTTAATTCTGTTCTGGTTATAGAACATACCTTATATGATTTCCATTCTTTTCAATCTTTTGAAACTTGTTTTATAGCCCATAATATGTGAACTTGAAAAGAATATGTATTATGCTGTTGTTGAGTGGAGTGTTCTATAAATATCAACTAATCAAGTTAATTGATAGTCTTATTTCCTTGCTGATTTTCTACCCATTTGTGCTATCAGTTACTTAAGTGTTGAAATGTCTAATTGAAAATTTGCCTATATCTATTTCAACTTCATCAGTTTTTATTGCACAAATCTTGAAGCTCTGTTTTAGTAGTGGAGCTGAAGAGAGCTGCTTTGCTGTTGGATTCCCAAATGCCAGAATACAGGTCTCTCCCTTGGGGCCAATTTCTGCAGAGAAGAAACTTCCCACCTCTTGCTGGAGGGTAAACCTCTGGTTAACAATGCACAGGGGTTGGGGAGGAGGGTGCACATATGTATGGGATGAGGGGAACGTTCCATATACAACTGGCCATTAATTTCACTACTTTCCCTTCACGTCTCAGTCCTATCCTCATTGGGCATCTCTGAGCTTGGAACCAACTGGTTCCTTCTTGTCCTTATCCTCATGTGCAAACAGGAAAAATGGTCTGCTTCTGCTCTGATACAATAGCTATCCTCCTTCCATCTTTCAAATTTTTTTTGAGATCTCTTATTTGCTGATGGTGTTTCTCCTGTTCTATTGCTGTGGTTTTATAAATTTAAAAAGTTTCTTTTCTAGCATTTTAACGCTACCCAGGAGATCAGACATGTTTAACAAAAGCACTTTATAGTCCTTTCTCTGCTATTTTGCTTAGTTGACCAAGTCCTGACATGATTTCTGTAGCCCCTGCTGATCAGTTGCCCCATGTTCCCTATCTATTAGCTTTCCCCAGCTCTATATCTTGAGCCTACTTAACCTACCAACGCAATGCCACTTTTACTCTGGCAGCTACTTTGGGCATGTTGCTTTGGACTTCCCCTTGCTTTCACTGCCTATGGTTCAGCCTTGCACTCCATGCTCAGTTACCACCTTTTCTCACCAATGAAAGTACAATGAGAAAGGCCATGGGAGCTGCAAAAGTGACACTCCACGTTTCTGTCCCTTAAATCTGGCTGTCAGGGTCAGGGATGGAGAAGTAAGGATTAAAAAGATTCTAATTTGGAACTGTGACTACAAGTAGTGATCACATATTCACCAGTATTTTGACCTTAAGATATCAAACAATCCATACAGAAAGCAAACAGCACCCACTGAATAGGTAAGAATTTTAAGAATTGTAAAAGCTTGTCTCAAGTACTCAACAAATAATAACCTGAAACCTAGATCCTTTGCTAAGTTAGTGATAGAATTTTCAACTGAATACAATTGATGGTTACTGAGACTATCCAAAGGTCCTTGTTCAAATCAACAAGTACTGGTAAAGCATCAAGCCTAGGGCAACCCTTGAACTCTGATGGGAACCATTTTTCAAAAATCCTAAGACACATCTTTTTTTCCATTTTCATATCTCTGAAATTTGTGTGTGTCTTAAAAATTAACGAAGTGTTTTCTTTTTACAGCCCAAGGCATCTTGAGATCTGATGAAATGTGACATATCCTCCATTGTTCTTCTGCATTTTTGTGCACAAGTCCTTCTTCTTCTAACTTATTGGTTTCCCCAAACTTCCTTCCCATAACCAGCGAAATGCTCCCCAAGGACTCTGATCACATTTCAGTTGTATTAAGGAAGGTAATGCTTAATAGAGAACAGTAAAAGCTAAACATAGTTAAAAACATTGATTACTTAAGGTATGTATAAAAATTTGGAAAAACGGGCCATTTTACACCCATTTGAGATGTTGATTTCAGACCTACCCTCTGGTCCTACTCTATCTGGTTCTTGTGATCATACTTGGCTCCAAATCCCAGTTAGATTATATACGTCAGCTAATAGAAAACATATGTGACAAACATGAGGGCAGGAGGAACTGGGAGGCATTCATCATTTCAGAGATCACTGACACAGTCACATCACTTGTGATGATGCCTTATGGTATCTGAACAAGTGAAGGGTCTTAGTAATGCCAACGGGCAGATGCTCAGTCACTACCCTAATCATTCCCTATGGACTGCTCAGGGTTAGAGTCAGATAGTCTGGACTATCTCTTGAAGGAGGGCGAATGTCTTAATCTGTCACCCTCCTTCATTCCTTATTAGTTATGAGCTCTGTTTCCCCTAAATCAGTGTATACTTCACTGTCACCTATGTCCTGTCAACTGCTTCAGGCTACCTCTGATGTGGATATATCAGTTACAACCCCACCTTCTCAAGCTAATAAATTGGGCATCCATATTTCCTTACCTGGCATTTTTCATATATGGATACTAGTCATTGGGGAAGAACTGGGATCTAGATCACTGGGCAGCCTCTTGAGCACTGCCTGAGGGATCACTGGGCAGCCTCTTGAGCACTGCCTGAGGGATCACTAACCAGTTTAGAGAATCAGGGCTGCAATTAGGAGCTCATTGTGTAGTAACTTCTGATTCAGTTATGTTTGCAATCCCTTTTCTACTCTCACCTGCTACACGAGCCTCTTGGATTGACTCCTAGGGGATGAATGCCTAACTCTTTGAGGTGTCCTAGCTCCACACGCAATCCCACCCACATCACAAGTGAATTATATGTGATACAGTGAATATTTAAAGCCTGATCTTCCCAAACCTACTCTCCAAATATAGTTAAAAAATTTTTAAATAGCTATTTTTATATGAAGTTCTTTTAGCTAAATATAAAAATAATTTGTAAATATAAGTTAGATGTCTATGGTGACGTGTAAAGTGGCTGGGGATGCTGCAAAAACAAATGATTTTTGGGGGGTACATCAAATATTAAAACAAGGGATAAACCAGAAGAGAGAAATATCAGAAACTTTCTCTCTTGACTCCTTTGTTTTGCTTAGAATAGAACATAAGTGGTGAAGAAAATTAAGGAAACAAGGGAAGGAAGTGTTCAGAGGAGAACTGAATACATTTAAATCTATTTCGACTTCATTTGACATGTTTCAACATGGTGGACGTACCCTACTTGGCTGTAGTTTGCAGGGGAGTCAACTGAGGGGGTGAGATTCAGAAGAATCCTAAAGGACTAGCTGCACCCAGGGACAAGAGCTACTCGTGATCCTGAGCAGCTGCGTTGGTGGAGGCGGGGGGAGGGGGTTCAACACCCTGTAACGTGGCGTATGGGGTGTGCTGCACAAGCAGCTCTTCTCCACCTTCTTGTTGTACGGCCACAGACTGCTGTACATTTTTGCAATAAACACAACACATTTCCAGGTCCACTGGACCTCCAACAACCCCCTCAGCCTAGAACTAACATATTGTACAACCGTAGTTTAGACAGGGCGCCTCAGAGCTGGAAGGAAAGATGAAAAACACAAGGCACACAACTTGAAGAGAAACGAGAGTTCCAATTTCCAAGAGATCGTGAACAAAGGGAAACATGTTCCGCTTGGACAAATGTAAAGTTCTTGCAGTTATAAACGCTGGGTAGGACATGCAGTTCTAATAGCACTGGCTGAACCGCAAAGGACAGACAGTTTCATTCCACGCATCTCAGGAACCGGAACAATGAACTCATGGGATAGCACAACAAAGCGCTTGGTACTTAAATACTCAAAATGAACGAGTGATTTTCAGTGAGGGAACATATCGGAATAACTCTTACTACCTCTCTCCTTCATAGAATACAAAGGTAAGAGTGATGTTAAACATATTTACGTCTTTAAACACGAGCACTGAGACTGAGACCTGGTTTAGCGGGGCTCTTTCCTGTGAACCCGCTGGTGGATGTGGAGGTTGGAGCTCTGGCTGAAGCCCTTCCCACACTTGCTGCACTCATAAGGCTTCTCTCCAGTGTGCACTCTCTGGTGGATGAGGAGTTTGGAGCTCTGGCTGAAGCCCTTCCCACACTTGCCGCAGTGATAGGGCTTCTCTCCAGTGTGGACCCTGAGATGGATGCGGAGGTCAGAGCTCTGGCTGAAGCCCTTCCCACACTCATAGCACTGGTAGGGCTTCTCGCCTGTGTGTATGCACCGGTGGATGTGAAGGTTTGAACTCTGACTGAAGCCCTTCCCGCACTCTCCACATTTGTAGGGCCTCTCTCCCGTGTGGACTCGCTGATGGATGTGCAGGTTAGAGCGCTGACTGAAGCTCATCCCACACTCACCACACTCATAGGGCTTCTCGCCAGTGTGCACGCGCTGGTGGATGTGCAGTTTGGAGCTCTGACTAAAGCCCTTCCCACACCTGTCACATTTATAAGGTTTCTCGCCTGTATGGACTGCGTGATGAATGAGCAGACTTGAACTCCTCGTGAAGCCCTTCCCACACTTGTCACACTTGTAAGGTTTCTCATCCGTGTGGACTGCCCGATGGATGAGGAGACTCGAGCTCCTGGTGAAGCCCTTCCCGCACTGCTCACATTTGTAGGGCTTCTCTGCTGTGTGGTCTCTCTGATGAAGCAGCAGCGCCGAGCTCTCACTGAAGTCCTCACCACACCGACTACATCTATAGCGTTTCTCTGCAGTGTGGATTTTCTCACGTGGATGGCCATCTGAGCTAGAGCTCAATATTTTCCCACAGTCATAACAGTTACAGGGTTTCTCTTCTGTGTGAGCTCTCTGATGACTACGACTGGCCACCTGTGATTTCCAACCACAAACCTCTTTGTGGTTACAGTCGAAGGGATCCAAGGATGCTTTCAACTGGCCATTCTGGCAGATTGCCTCACCACTGAACAATGGTGGGACCAGTTCTGTTACATCAGACACAAGCTTAATCTGAAGGTTCTCTGAACAACGGTCCCTCGGAGGACTATTCCCCTCTGTCACTCTTCTCTCAGTGCTTTCTTCAGTTACAAACAGACTTTTGCTTTCCTGAGGATCCTGGGCCTTATTCTTACAGAACATCGCTGGGGAGACCAGTGTGGCCACGTGGCCTGGAACTTTCAAAGACAACTATTCTTCACTTTCTATGTTTTTGAAACCATTACTTTGAAGAGTCACCATATGGCTCTTGTTTCTGGCAATATGAGAAGAAGCTTCTCCCCACTTTCGACATGGGGAAAGATCTAGTTCAGGGCTCTTGCATACTTCCCCTTGAAGAGTCCCAATAGAATCGTGACTCCCAGTTATTGCATTGGCTCTCTCTCCCAAAATTAGCCAGCAGGAAAGCTCTTCATGTAACAGATCCCTTAGTCCTTTCTCTTGAAGATTCTCCACAGAATTTTCACTCAGGTCTCCTAGGGAACAAAAAGAATTCAGTGATAAGAACAAACAAAGGGTAGATGTCAAGATTTCAAACTGGAGTGCCTAAGGCCTGAAGATTTAGTAACTAGGAAAAAGTTCAGTCTTATCCTCATAGTCACGTCCTTTGGGTTAATGTTGGAAAGAGAGGAAGTCTGACTACACAAGACAGAAATCTTTTCTCTGCTTTTAAGCATGGCCAACGAAAGCATTCCTCCCCTAACCCTGCAGAAGCCTATGAATCCCACATCCTTGCCACAAATAACATTTCATTTCACTTTACTTCATTTTATTTTAATTAAATTTGCATTTAATTGGTAATCCACTTTAATAGGTGCTAGGGATACAAGGAAGAAAATAAAAAAATCCTTTTGCTTAACAAGCGAGAGCCTATTGGGAAGAAAGAAAAGTATAGCAATAATGATGAGACCACGTAAGTGCTATGGTAGATGCATGCACAACCAGTCCTGAAAGCACAGACGAGGGGCATTTGACCCAAACCTTGGGGTCTGGGGGAAGATTTCTGGGAGAAAATGTAAGGAAAAAAATAAAGTGAAATGTGGAGAGAAAATATGACACATTCAGGAAGAGTGTAGGCAGCTTCTTATGAAGGATATAAAACAGGTACCAGGGGTAAAGAGTGTGCCCTGGAGAGGAAGCAGGAGCCAGAACAAAGGGCTTGGTGTGTACTATTAAGGAGTTACGGATAAAACCCTCAGGGATTTCAGGCTACTGAAGGATTTCAAATGGGAGTGAATGACTGACTTCATGATTATAAATAGCATCAGAAATAGGCAAGACTTTAGGTAGAGAGACAACTGCTGTAGCAAATCAGAAGAAGGGTGATAAGGCTGGTGGTTATGGAAAGAATGGGAGAGACATTCTACATCACGTGACGACTAACTAAGCCTAGAAGGGAAAGAAGGCATCAAGCACGATTCCCAAGTTCCCTGTGTGAGTGACGGGGGATGGAGGTGCTGCACAAGAAGACAGGGAAAGCAAGAGGAAAAGGCTGGAGTGGGAAAGGAGGACAGATGACCAACTCAAAATCTGTCTGGTTTAATTTGTGGTGCTCCTGGAAGAGTCTTGCACTGTTCAGTAAGCAGTGAGATATATGAGTCTGGAACGCCTGAGTCAGAACCGTGCTAGGAATACAGAGCTTACGCTTAATAGTATATATGTTGGTCAAAACAAGTAGAGTGAACATTACACTGAAATGACAAAAAAGCAATCTGTAATAGTCTTGGGAAAAAAGAAAGGTTTCCATCAGCAGAACAAAAATGCTGAGGAACTCCTAGATGATAAAGAGTAGATGGATTATGATGACAGAGAAACTAGAAAAAAATGCAACACCTCAAATCATGTACAGAAGACTTTGAAAGAGTAAGAAGTCTTCTCAGGAAGTCCTGGAAATTCAAATTCCAAACTCAGAATCAACAATGATAAAGTAAGAAAGGTTTATCTTGGAAATTCAGCTTTGTGTTCACGTTAGGCATTTCAAACGGCAGGATGAGTTGTTGCTGTTAGCACCAACACTCTCCCAACCACCTTCTTCCCACAAAAAATCAAATATTGGGTGGCTAACAGAAGTGGCCCCATACAAAGCCTCAAGAACAGAATAAATGATCTGCTAAAGAAAGAAAGACTCCTCAGAGTATTAGCTGGGCTGAAGAGAGAAGCAGAAGTTAAGGTAATGATGGGCCTGCAACAACGACAGTGTTGATTAAGGTACAAAAAGAAGCGGTGGACTCCACATGTGCCCAGGGTAAAGCCTCCAGGTAACCCCTGCAGTGGGATTTCTGATAAGGGAGACACCCCAGAGCTGGAGATCAAAGCAGGGCACGCCTCAGATAACTTACTGGCCTGAAGTGGCAACCTCAAAAAAGGGGTCTACACCACCACCATCTGGATTCTTGTTATATCCATCCCAAGTCCAGTCAGCAGAAGCGCCCCCTATGGGTAGAACATGCATGCACCAAAGAGGGTCGGGCATCAGCTGAGGAGGAACACTCCAGTGTCACAGTGTGAACATAAGACTTTCGAAAAAAAATGAGACAATAAAAAAATATAAGCAGACCAAAAAAACCCGGAGAAACATCAATAAAGAGTGGCACAAACTCAAGTGAACAGAGGAAACAGAATTTAAAAGGTACATAATTAAAAGTCCAGAGAAATCTGAGAGGATATCACATCTAGAAAAACAACACAATAATAAAATATGGACAAGTTGTTATGAAAAATAATCAGAATTATTCTAAATTAACAAAAAGATCGAAAAAGATGATAATCGTAACAATTAAGACCTGCTGTGCCCATGGGAGCACTCAGGCACTGGTGGCATGATTTGATGTAAACTATTAAGACACCCATCTGACACAAGGGGAAACCAAGGCTGAAAAGCTTAAGCGACTCAGCTCACAGGTTAAGCTAAAGGGTTAAGTCTTTAGTAATTTTTATTTAGTAATATTTTAATTAATAGTATTTATTATTAATAGAGGTACTGTAGCAAAATTTTTTAAAATTACTTTTTTTCTGTTATTTCTTTCCCTTCATTCTATCTTCACAATATTCACAGATCTCCTAGAAGATGGACTTTTACTTTTATCTTTCCATCTGTCTATTGTACGTACAACCTCAGGACTTCAAGCAAAAAAAACCCCAGAAAATGCTAAAACCACTCAGACAGAAACGCTAGGTTATGTGCAAATAAATGAGAATAATATTGACACTGAACTACTAATCAGCAATACTGGATACCTGAAGATAACTGAGCAATATCTTCTAATTTTGGAGGAAAAGTGATCGTGAAATTCGCATTCTATTCTATACACAGCCAATCAATCATTTCACTGGGAGGAATAAATAGACATCTTTTCAGACAAGAAAGGATTTAAACAATTACTTAAACAATTACTCAGGAATGTACTGTAGCAAAATTTTAAAAATTCTTTAAGAAAAAGCTGATACGTGATACAAGAAACAAGTGAGCCAAGGAGTCAATCAAACAGACAATAAAGTTGAATCAATTGTTGATACATAAAAGAAAACAATAATAATTAACCAAAACTTTATAAAATAGTATGGAATGAAAATCTCCCCAAATAAAACATATTTAAAAAAGCAAGTATTGACTTTAGGAAAAGAAAAAAAGGCACAGTAATCATAGTATACTACTTGACTCTGCAGGAACAAGAATTACGAAGTCAAAGCAATGTAAGCATTAATCACTGGCGTGACTCTGACATAAATTCTTGAAAGGATGAGCATGTTAGGGGATGTAACGTAAAAGAGCTAAATGCTCATCTATGATATAAAGAAGTCAACAGAAAATATCAAGTATTGATAAATTGAAAAATAGCAGTATATCATAATATAATAAATTCAGATTAGAATTATACTGAGGTGCCATTTGCCACCTGTTACGCTGGCAAAAACCCAAAGCCTGAAGACACACCTGCTTGTCAGTGTAAACTGGCATCACCCCCGAAGAAGGACATTTTGGCAATTATCTATCAAAATCACCAATGTATGCACTCAGCGTTCCAGCAGGGGGCTGCATTCCTCAGATTTCCAGACACAGCTGTGAAATGATATTTGCATGAGATTTACTCACTGCAGACGATTTGTGACAGCAAACGACGAGAACCTGGGTAGAGTGGAGTTAGGGACATGAAAGAAAGTTCTCACTGTGCACCTTTTTGTTTGTTTTTATTTTTGCAATATAACTTTAATAATTTGAAAACATTTAGTACATTTGGGAATCTTACTTTTATTTGCTACTCACGGATAATTTATTTTCTACCTTTCTTCAGCATGTCCAAAATCCTCATTGTACATTTTTTTCCAGCTTTATTTAGGTATAATTGACAAGTAACACTGTCTACCTTTTTATGCTTTTTTTAACTAATGCATTTATTCTTTAAAAAAAGAAAACAAGTAGCTGCATATGTGTATTATTTGGAAATATGGACACAAACCCAGTAAGGAAAGCTGAAAGGACTGAAACTGAGTGCCTCTGAGGAGCCACACTGTGGACATGAGGAGCAGCAGAGCAGGGAAACTGGTTTTGCTTATAAGCCTTTTAGTACAATTTCTTTATCTAGGTGAATGCATTACTTTGTTTACAAAGTTGAAAAGTAACGGCAAATAGAAAAAGGAAAAAACAATAAAACAAAAACAGTGCAGTTTGGAGCAGTTAAATCATGCGGTGTGCCAAAATTATTAGATGGCCAAGGACACTAATTCCCCATCTGGCTGCATGCTACCCGGGAATGGCTGCAGAAATGACAGGTCTGTGCAGGTCAGCGGGGCAGGAATTCCATTAACGGTAAGTTTTATAAGTAGTAATGAATCTTTGTGATATTATTTAAAAAAAATATTTAAAATAGGGGGCTGGCCCCGTGGCCAAGTGGCTAAGTTTGCGCGCTCTGCTGCAGGTGGCCCAGTGTTTCGTCGGTTCGAATCCTGGGTGCGGACATGGCACTGCTCATCAAACCACGCTGAGGCAGCGTCCCACATGCCACAACTAGAAGGACCCACAATGCAGAATATACAGCTATGTACTGGGGGGCTTTGGGGAGAAAAAGGAAAAAAAATAAAAAAATCTTAAAAAAATACTTAAAATATTATGAAAAATGAGTGTGTAATATTAGAAGAAAATGCTGACATAATGAGAAAAGAGGTCCTTTTAGCGGGAGTTAATACGACATGACAAAGATCTCTAAGACATACTGCATGAAATAGTCAGTTGAAAAACACATTCAGAATAATCTCATAAATTTTAACACATATATTTGTAATATGCATATATAGAATACACAGAAAAAATAGGATAAACAAACTATTATTAATGACGTCATTTCATATTATACCAATGTGTCTGAAGTTTTGAGATTTTTATATGTTGCTTTAAAAAAAGTCAGACAACTATGTTCAATTTTGTATCAATTAAAAAGGAAAACCTAGAGCAGAGATCGAAAGTGGAAGCACAGATCCTACTCCACTTTCAGCCCTCTGCAAAGAGCAGTCCCAGTGACACTGGGTAGATCAGATCGTACCGCTCCGTTGCTCCACTGGCTTCGCACAGAACTTAGCACCGTATACACGTCTTACCAGGGCCTCCAAGGTCACAAGTGCACAGGCCCTGCCCACCCCTTCATCCCAGCTGCTCCCTGTCTTCTAGCCACACTCCTTCCTCCAGGTCTTCAGGTCTTCTCTTGCACTGTTCTATCTGCCTGGAATATTCCTCCCTTAACCAGTCACCTGTTTAATGCCTGCTGATCCTTTAGATCGCAGTTTACATGTCACTTCAGAGGCCTTCCCTGAAACTTTCAACAACACATACGTCAGCCTCGTCCCATCCCATGCCTTCATTCTCTCAGAGCACACTGTTTCATCCTTCATAGGACTTATCAATTTATAGTAATATATCATGTGTACTTACTGTCTCTTCCGCAAGACTGTAAAAAATTATTTCTTCTCTGTTAAACTCCACAGCAGTCAATTTTTAAATCTTGACTATGTGCACACAGCACTGGAAGTATTAGATACATTGCTTTCCCTCCACAAACCTGGCTGGAAACAAGGAAAATAAATCAGACTTGCAGATTCAATAGTTAAAAAAAAAAAAAGCATACAAAAGAATATGTAATCAGGTCTAGGACTGTGAGATATAAATTGAAAGTTCTGAGAGAAAGCAGTCAAGTGGAAGAGATGGTCAAAGTTTTCACACAGGTAATGGACTCTGAATAAAACCTTAAACGACAAAATTCACCAGGAACCAGAGCACGGTAATCAAAGGTACCAGAGCAAGTGAGCATGGAGGACTTCCAGAGAACAGGCTTAGCTGGAAGGAAAGTAAACTCAGGATAGCAGAGAACAATGCTCCACAGGGGAGAGCAAGCACCAAGGGCCTTGAGAGCCAGGTGGGAGTTGAGAGGCTCTACACCTGCAACTGAAGGTCATGCCAGGCTTTTACCCAGAGTGACGTGGTAAATGGGAGGTCAGGGAGACAAGTCTACTTGCAAGATCCAACTTGAGCCTGAAGAATGATGTCAATAATCTAGCTGATTGTTACCATAATTCAAGCATTAAATGGACCCATTTCAGGGTGATATCTGGGGGACTTAAGAGTGTTACTAAATTTAAAAGAACTTAAAGTCAAAAAAGAATTATTGGTGAGAGAACTACACATACTGAGGATGGGGAGGGAGAAACTTAACGGCCTATTTCTAAACTAGGAGACTGGAGGGGTGGGCCTGGTGGCATAGTGGTTAAGCTCTCGCACTCCGCTTCAGCAGCCTGGGGTTTGTAGGTTCAGATACTGGGTGTGGACCTATAGACTGCTCATCACGCCATGCTGTGGCGGCGTCCCATGGACAAAATATAGGAAGACTGGCAGAGATTACAGCTCAGGGCCAACCTTCCTCAAGCAAATAGAGGAAGATTGGCAACAGACGTTAGCTCAGGGCCAATCTTCCTCACTAAATAAATAAATAAATAAATAAATAAATAAATAAATAAAATAAACTAGGGGACTAGAGGAATGTTAATATTCCCCCAGAACTGGGAATATGAGAAGAGAAGTTAAAAGGGAAAGGAATTTTGAAAATTCTCAATACACTGAATTTGAAGTGACACTGGATAGTCAAGTGTAGGTATCCCATAGCCAAGAAAATACACAGGAACAGAGTTTAATATGAGGAGAGGAAATAAAGCCATTAGGGTTATTGAAATAGAAAGGATAGTCAAGGCTATTTAAATGTACGATAGCTCTTGGATGGAGGCAGACAAGTATACATATCTAGCGTGCATTCTCAGCAGGGCACTATTGCCTCCAAGGTGGTGAGAATTGGTTCTTAGAGGGCAGTGGTGGTAGTAAGAAAAAGAGTGAGAAACTGACATACAGTGATCAAAGAGCAGGGCCTTTTGAGATTTCCAAAGTTAGAGGAAAGACTGAGAAATACGCAGAGAAAAGGAATAAAAGAGAGGCTGGAGGAAATAGGAAAACTATGATTTCATACAAGTCAAAAAATTTTAAGATCAAGGTAAACACTATCAAAACCATGCAAAACATTAACAATAGTAAATGCTCTGAAAGACATTAAAAAAGGAAACGCTCTGAAAGGCACAAAAGTTTATTAGTGACTTCCAAGTGAGCAATTTTGGTCCAAAGATAGAGCACCGGCACTAGGTTTATATAAAGAAAATGGAAACGCAGGACTCTCCCCACCTCCAGGTACCACTTCCTTCTGGGTTGATCCCCTCACTCCCCAGGTTTGGCTGAAAACAACGGTTCAAGAGCCACAGTTTCTAAGGGAAGAGAACCATGTGGATTGGGGCAGGAAAAAGCCCTGAAAGCCATGATCGCAAGATCCTTCTCTTTGGTCGTTTTTATAGAATGTCTGATTTTACTACAAAATGGCAGTTTCACATGGTTCAACCTGGGAGGGAGACATGCATCTTCCCATCTAATTAAAAATTCTTTATCAGCATCTACTTTTTTTTGTGAGGGAGATTGGCCTTGAGCTAACATCTGTGCCAACCTTCCTCTATTTTATGTGGGATGCTGCCACAGCATGGCTTGATGAGTGGTGCTAGGTCCGTGCCTGGGATGCGAACTGTGAACTCCAGGCCGCTGAAGCGGAGCATGTGAACTTAACCACTATGCCACTGGGCTGGCCCCTATCAGCATATTTTTAATGGCCACAAATTCTTCTCTTGTATGATCCACAATAAATTGTATAACCAATCCCTTCTGATACATTTGGTGAGTAACTTTTCACTATTTTAAATGATTCTATAATGACTCATCTTTGTACACAATTTTCAGTTGGACTTAAGTCTAGATACCTAAAAATGAATTATTACATCAAAAATGTTTAAGGCTCTTTGACTCAAGCGGTCAAAATGTTTTTGAGAAAAACCATATCAATTATACCCCTATGTATCGCTAGGGAATGAGGTTTTGTCTCTCCAAAGTACCGTCGTATCTTCAGAAGGGGAGACGGATGCATCCCTGAAGGTGGAAGAAAAGCAGCAGTGGGGAGGAGGTGTTGCAGGACAGGGGAGGTTTAATGAAGTCTAAGCAAAGATGGTGCAAGACCAATGTGGGGAAAATGAGGGAAAGATGGAGTACAGATAAGAAGGTCAGTGTGAATGGGGAAGACCACAAGCTTCTGAAAAGGCAGAATGGGGAGGAAACGAGTAGATAAATGTTGGTCAGTTCGTGGAAACTGAGGCCTCAGCTGTCTCCAGAGACCAGAGAACTTCAAAGAGAACTCCAGGAACAATTAAAAAGGGACTCCTCTTTCACGCGTTAGCCGGGGCTCACAGCTTGCCACGATGCTTAACTGATTCTTTTTCATCAAGTTCATTCTCCATTATTTAATGATCTTCAGTTTCAACTTGCTCCAACTGAGAGGTCACATCTGGGAAACACAGAGAGTGGGTGACTGTGCAGAAAGCTAAATCAGTCCCAAACCCTGGCTTATCAGGGATGGAAAAGGTATGGTTTCTGAGACGACTCAGTAAAGCTACCATTCTCCAATTCTTACCAATCAAAGTTCTTTAGTGCTTAGAACAATCAGAAACATCCTTTTGTGCCAAAGAGAAACTAGGGAACTCTGATTTCTGAACCACAACTCCTGGAGCTCCATTACTATTTAAAATGGAAGAAAAAAAACTCCCAAGGGCAGGTGTCCAGGCTCATGTTCTGGCCCACGAGACCAAGTGGCTCGAGTTCTCCAGCACCACAGCTCTGCGAGCTTCCTCTGAGTGGGGTCCCAGCAATCCCACCACACCTCAGTTACTCGACCGTTTCTGGTTCCTAAAACATTAAGCGCATTCCTGCTCAACCAACAACCACCTGCACAAATGCTCTGGAAGGAGGGAGAGGTTGGTAGCACTGGAAAAGATGAGAAGGGTACAAAAGTGTGCAGTTCAGGGATCTGAGGGATCTAAGTCAAGTTTTGTCAGAAAATTTTTCTTTTCTCATCTACTTTGCTACTTCCATCCAATTCCTTCCCCTCTTGCTCACAACTCACCCAAGCTCAAGCTATCCAGCTACCGAATCTTTCCTTTCCACTGCCATCTCATGGTCATTGCTGAGTTGTCCTTTCCCTTCATTCCCACTATTATCCTGACAACCTCAACACTCCTGAGAACAAGTTACCCAACTCTCTAACCTCACATTTCTTAATCTCCTTAGGGTTGATGATCTCTGCCTCATTTCATCAAACTCAATAACCATAATCAGGCCCATTTCACGATTTGGATCACTCTGCCTTTGAAGGATTAACCTCTTAATATCCTACACCTTAAAAACATCTTCCTGGGGCTGGCCCAGTGGCATAGTTGTTAAATTCACATGCTCCACTTCAGCGGCCTGGGGTTTGCGGGTTCGGATCCCTAGTGTGGACCTAGTGCTGCTCATCAGGCCATGCTGTGGCAGCATCCCACATAAAATAGAGGACAATTGGCACAGATGTTAGCTCAGCAACAATCTTCCTCAAGCAAAAAGAGGAAGATTGGCAACAGATGTTAGCTTAGGGCCAATCTTCCTCACAAAAAATACACATACACACACACAGAAATCTTCCTGTTCTTTCTGCTCTTCCTCTTCCATCACACCTGCCTTGTCAAGATCACCATCCTTTAACCTTTCCTTTTTCTCCTCTCAGCCAAAGCAGACTTCTGACCTCAAGTTTTTCCCTAGTCGTATCAATCATATATCCTTTCTTCCTCTAAACTAAGTAGTTGAACATTCCTGGAAAAAACAAAATAGCATATAGACACATAGCCATAAAATACTCTTCTCAGGTACTCCCATCTAGCCCCTTTGGCTTAAAATATCACTGACTGCCAAATACTTACCGCCAGCCCTAACCTTTCCCATCAACTCCAGGCTCCAACTTTCCACCTAACATCTACACTTGCATGTCTAAAAGGCACTTAAAACTTAACAGGCCCCAACAGAACTCTTGCTCCCAACAATCTCCGTCAACATCTGCTCTTGCCTAGTCGTCCTCATTTTAGTAAATGGCCACATGACGCACCCAATTCCTCAAGCCAAAATCCTCAAAGTAATTTTGATTCTCTTCTCTCTTCCTCGCATTTTGTCTAACACCAAGTGCTATCAACTCTACCTCTAAAACACATCTGAATCTACCCACTTCTCTCCATCTTGCACTATTATTGTCACGAGTTCCAGCCATCATTAACTCTTACTTGCACCAACCTCCTAATTTGTCTGCTACCACTCCTGCTCCCCAACACAATGAATTCTCCACATAGCAACCAGAGAGATCTTTTAAAACACACACTACATCAAGTGTGATACCCTCCAAAGACTTTTCAATGGACATCGAGTAAAATCCAGAGTCTTCATCTTGGTCTACAAGGCTTTACAGACTGGGGTCCTGTCAATTTTCCAAACTCAGCCCTAGTCACTCCTCCCTTATGTGTCACACTTGGCCCCAGTGACCTTGCAGGTGCTTGACCACGTCAAATGCATCTCAACTTAGGGCCTTTGCACTGGCTGTCCCTCTGCCCACAATGTTCTTTTTCTGATCTTCACATGCCTGGTTCCTTATCATTCAGATCTTAGCTGAAACGCCACCTCCTCAGAGAAGCATCTCCTTGACCATCTAACCCAGAGTAGCACCCAGTAACTATCACTTCTCTGTTTTAATTTCTTTGTACTACTTATGCCTTATGTCATTTTCTAATTTACTCATTTGCTTTCTTATTTACAGTCTGTCTCTCCCCATGAAGACACAGTTTCCCTAAGAACAGAGAGGCTGTCTGGTGTGTTTATGGCTGCATCCCCAAGGCCTCAAGCAGGGACTGGCAAATAAAAGGAGTCCAAATATTTATCTAGTTAACTTCACAGTGAGTCTGGTTCCCTCCAGGGTTCTGTCAATGGAAGAACACTTCTCAAATTGCCTCTGGTGAAGAACCAATTTCTTTTAAAAAATTTCTAATATGTCACAGACTGATACTTTTGTAAAACATAATAATTACTACAAAATAAAAACCCAGACATATAAAATATCAACACCAATTTTTTAAAATCATTAGATTTAATGGACATAAAAGTTTTAAACACTTACTCTCAATTTCCTTGTGTCTTTGCAGACTGGCAACAAGCTGTTCGTGGGCTGGCAGCAGTCTACAGGCCACACTCTGAAAAGCAGAGGATAGAATATACACAAAACGACTGAGAGCCAGGTGAAGCCCAAAAGAGCAGCTCACCTCTGGCCAGGGGAGTGCCCAGCAACCTTCAGAAGCGCAGGCACCTTGGGCTGGAGGCTGAAGGGATCCCACACACTCCCTCCTCAGGAAAGAGCACAACCAGGCTGCCCCCAGGAGTAACACAACTACCCTATTCGCCACCAGTGGAGAAGGCAGCAATGAGAGAAAGTGTTTCCTCCCAAGCTCTCCTCTCAAGGTCACAGGTCTCTACTGTGTCTGAGGAAGAGGGATGAGATTGGGCTAGAGAAGCCTGCAGGTCCCTGCAAGGTGGGACGAAGGAGTTAAAGTGGAGGGCGCTGCCTTAGACCGCCATAAATATACTTGTTAGTACAACAGGGCCTGTGAATGCCAAGTGGTTGGATGAGCCACTTCTCTCACCCAGACTTTTTCTTCTCCACCTCAGGGAAAAAAGACTACTTTCTGTCCAAGGGTCACCACCCCTATGCATTCTACATGGAATCCTTTCCTCCCTTCTGAGAGTTAAGTCCATCAATTATCTTTTTTCCCTTTTATTTTTAATCTGTCTTCCACCCACTCATCTGGATTGTCTAAGACTCCTTCCTTACCTCAACAGTATTCAAACCACTTCAGATCCTGTCAATTCTCTCTCCTAAATCTTCCTCCAATGTGTTACCTCTTCTTTATTCCCACTGCCACTGTCCTATCCTAGGTGAGGTCCTCATTTCTTACCTAGATCACAACAATTCCTTATCAAGTCTTCAAAATACAAGTTTTGTCATCTTGCAATCAGTAGATTGGACAGTCAGAGTTATTCATTTATTAAGATCCCACAGGTTAAGTGGTGGGGAGAATTCCATGCTGAGAACAGAAAGAATACGTGGATGGACTACCAACTTTGTGGTAGTCTGAAAATTCCAAGATGAGAAATGGCATGACAGTGGACCACAAGAAAGGAATCAGTGTGACAAGGGAAAGGAAAAACAGCAAGAAAGGAGTGGTTCTGCGAAAGCAAGACAAAGTTGGGAATGAAAGCACCTGAATAGTGAATAGTCTCCCCTGGTGTCAGTGGGGCTAACGAGTCACCCCAAAGTAGAACTCAGGCTTACTGTGGGAAAGAGGACTCAGCATCCTGAAGCCCGACCAAAGTGGAAGGTCACAGGACCCGTAGGTTCCTGTTCCCATCCAACGAATGTCAAACTCCTCAAATCTACATACACGTGTGGCTTTCCACTTCCTCTCCAGAGCCCATCCCTGCTAGCTCCAACAATTTACTCAGGAAACAGTAATGCAGAAGGCAGGAGGCAGGCAGGAACTGTAGTCAGCCAGGATTACCTGCAGTGATCCAAAGGTCATGCTCTAGTCCAGAATATCCCTTTACACATTTCTTCTGCCCTGACTTATATTTCTCCCATCCATTTTGGGAATCCTTTGTTTCAGGACAACCAATAACCTCCTTTCTGAAGCAGAAGGCTAAGTTAAATGCCTCCTCCTTCAAGATCTTATAGCATTTTCCACATACCTCTACTATAGTTATTAAATCTATCTCCCAAATTGGCTATAAGATTCCAAAGGATAGGGGCCATGCTCAACTAATCTTTAAATCCCCACCAACTAGCACAACTGATACAGAATGAAATGATAAATAAATTCACATTCAACTTAATGAAATTATACAAGTAAAAACCTTGAGATCATCAAACTTAACACTCTAATCTTACAGATGAGAAAACCAAGGTTCATAATGGGGAAGTGACTTACACAAGGTCACAGAGGGAGGGAAGGGTTAAATTGGGATTCCTGCCTTTCAGCAAACTCAAGGACAATGTCTGGTACACAGGAAACACTCAGCAAGTGTTGATGGAATGAAGGGTTTTCTTTAAATTCAAAAAGTTATTAACATATGCCAGAATCTCAATTTTTCACTATACTAGCAATTTCCAACTTCATCATAAATAATCTTCATCAGGTACCAGATAGAGGAGAAGGAAGGAAAATATAGAGAGCACAGGGTCTTACTCATGCTAATCTCCCTTGAAGTCCTCAATTACTTTTTAAGGCACAGAGACAGCAGGCTCTCAGTACCTTGAGGCAGGCTACTGTCCTCTAAACAAACTGATTTTTATAAGAGCTCATGGTCTCTTCCTATATATGTGAGGACTGTATTTGCCAAGACCAAAAAGATGGTCTTGCTACCTTATACCTGTCAGAATATAATTAACCAGACAAAAAAATAACAACTGTTGGAGAGGATGTAGAGAAAAGGGAACCCTCATACACTGCTGGTGGGAATGCAAACTGGTACAGCCACTATGGAAAACAGTATGGAGATTTCTCAAAAAATTAAATTAAAAATAGAAATACCATATGACCCAGCTATCCCTCTACTGGGTATTTATCCAAAGAACTTGAAATTAATAATTCAAAGAGACTTATGCACCCCTGTGCTCATTGCAGCATTATTCACAATAGTCAAGACGTGGAAGCAACTCAAGCGCCCATTGACTGATGATTGGATAAAGAGGATGTGGCATATATATACACAATGGAATACTACTCAGCCATAAAAAAGGACAAGATCGTGCCATTTGCAACAACATGGATGGACCTTGAAGGTATTATGCTAAGTGAGAATAAGCCAGACAGAGAAAGATACACACTGTATGATTTCACTCATATGTGGAAGATAAATACATGGATAAGGAGAATAGAATAGTGGTTAGCAGAGAGGAAGGTGGTTGGGGGTAGGGCAAAAGAAGTACAGTGGCACATTTATATGGTGAGGATAAAAACTAGACTATGAACATGGTGAACATGATGCAGTCTACACAGAAACTGATATATAATAATGTACACCTGAAATTATACAATAAGCCAATATGACCTCAATAAAATAATAAAAAGATGGTCTTGCTGGTGGCGTTGTTAAGAACCAACTATTTTTTCCTTAAAATCCAGTCTGACATTTTATTCAAATAACTTCTGGTGTGATGACCTGTTTAGCCATGGAGAAGGAACAGCATGGAGTTGGAAAACATGGGGTTTCCTTCTGACTCTGTGGCTCTCTGCAACAAAGCACATGGCGCTTCTCCTCAGCTCGCTCAGGATTAGAGCTCTGCTCTGCAAAATGCCAGCAGCACGGCAGAGAGGGGACTGGCTGGCCTCCTCCATTTCAAACATTTTATGATTCTAAGTGCCAATCTTGAGGTGACTTTCTAGAAATGGCTTTATGGAGACAAATGAGAAACTGCTTTTAAAAAAAGTGCTACTCGGTAATTTAAGAGTTTAATGTACCAATTAAACAAGTAGATACGTTGGTAAAGGGAACAAAGCAATCAGAGCATAAAAGATGACTCATCTCACCTACCTTAGTGATACTCACATCAGTATGCAGAGAAATACTTTACAATAAGTGCAACAAATCTTTGGATGCACAAAGATCAACAGATAAAAAAGGAGTAAAATTCTCCTTTTAGCAGGTCTGGGGGTTGGTGGTGCCTAGGAACCTTAATTCTCAAAGAACACCACAGATAATTCTGATGCATAGCTTGGTTGAGGAGCATCTCTAGGAGTGATCTGGTACCTACTGTGCTATTTAACAAACTTTCTTATATTTTTCACTCTTTCATGTTTCAAAAATGATTATCATTAATGTGCCTACTTTTTTCCCGTACACATATTCTGCTCGTGAAGAAAAGCACCATAGTTTATACAGTAGCCCCCATTATCCACGGTTTTGCTTTCCATGGTTTCACTTAGCTGCAGTCAACCATGGTCTGAAAATATTAAATGGAAAATTCCAGAAATAAACAGTTCATAAGTTTTAAATTGCATGCCATTTTGAGTAGCATGATGAAATCTTTCACCATGCTGCTCCACCTTGCCCAGGACATGAATCATCTCTTTGTCCAGGATATCCACACTGCATAGCTACCCGCTACCTGCCCAGTAGTCACTTGGTAGCCGCCTTCTCCCAGATGGACTGTTGAGGTATTGCAGTGCTTGTGTTCAAGTAACCCTTACTTTACTTAACAATGGCCCCAAAGCCCCAGAGTAGTGATGCTGGCAATTCAGATATGCCAAAGAGAAGTTAATGTTGTTAATCTCCTCCTGTGCCTAATTTATAAATTAAACCTTATCACAGGTATGTACATATAGGAAAAATCATAGTATACATAGAGTTTAGTACTATCCAAGGTTTCAGGCATCCACTGGGGGTCTTAGAATGTATCCCCCACGGATAAGGGGGGACTAGTGTAATTCCATTTGTTTTCCTGAGGCCACTTACTACTGGACTGATCATGTAATATCTTTGAATGACTTTTTAGTGAGAGAAAAATGTCTGGCAGGAAAAGGCAGGCTTTGAGAGAGCGGACCAGGCAAAGAAGCAGTGTGGAGCCTTTGAATAAAAGCACATAGCCCAGTGCTCTGGGGAGAGGACCAAGCTCACGGAGGGAGGGTGGTTCAGTGAAAAATGATGTGGAATTTAAAGTCAGTAGATACTGGTGTGGATTCTGGCAACATCATCTGATAGCTATATGCTCTTCGTGTATTAATGCTCCTAAACCCATATTTATGAAATACTTGTATCTCACGCTGAAGCCTGACAATAAAGAGAAAAACAACACACAGAACAAAGACAGGACGTGACACCAGACAGGCACGCAATTAATGCTGATGTTCTTCTTTAGTCCCAAGAAAGAAAGGCTATGTCCATTCTCAGAGAGATGGCATTTCTGGGGAGAAGAAACCCCAACTCACCTGGAACTTGGTCATTTCCTCCTCTCAGGAAGGAGAGAGTCTTGGAAAGGTAGAGTTAGGGAAAGAGGAAGAGCCATGAAAATCAAGTCCACCTTGCAGGACACAGACTAGCCAGTCCAGCAAGGCTGTGGGAAAAAAGTTCCTCAGCTCCCGCTCCTAACCCCGCTGTCAGCCCATCGCACGCCCTCTCCCCAGAGGCCGCCCTCGGCTCCCAACGCCGCACCTCCCTCACCTCTCTCCGTAGGGCTTTGGATCAAGCCGGCCAACCCATCCCCCACAACCCCGCCCAAACCCACGAGGCTAAGTAAACTCTGCAGCCCCCAGCAGCTCTAAGATGTGTCCATTTCCTCAGGCTTTCCGGTTTCTGCCCTAAAGTTCTAGTCAGGGCAGTAAGATGTGTCGCTTCTCGGATGCATTTCGACTGCCCGAGACGCCTTCCCCGACCTGAATCGTTTTAGGAGTGCAGAGGCTCAGACGCAGCCTCCTTTTAGTGAGGACAGCGCTTTGGGGACAGAAACCTCGGTCCCCCACAGGAGCCCCTCTCGGTCACCTAACAACCACTGAAAACCTCCCTGAATAAAGCCAATCCCTGCCGCGGAAAAGGCCGATGTGGCCAACTACGAAGCCCCCAGGCTGGCCAAGGCCAGAGCTCGGTCAGGCGGGAGGAGCGCCCCTTGGGGTCGGGGCCAGTTCAGCGCTCTGGGACGCCTCGTCCCAAGTGACCGCAGCCCGGCCAGGGGGACGCAGCAGCGGCCGCGGCGCTCGGATACACGTGCGGCCCGGAACTGCAACTCCACCAGGTCGCACGCCCTCCCACGGCCGCCCCGCCAGGCCTCCAGCGCCTCCCCCGCGGCACTCCCACGGTCCGACGCCTCCCTGCAGGCGCTGGCGCCGCACGCGTCTCACCTCCCACGTGGGAACCGACACCTGGCAGCGCAGGATTCCGGATACTGACCCGCGCCCGCGCCTAGGGCCCAGAACTACAAATCCCAGAAAGCCGCGGGCGGGCCACGCCTACTTCCGGCGCCCTCTTCTGGCGCTGATACCCGCCTTCACGAGGCGCTGCGTCGAGGGTGGGTTCGTGATGCGGTTGCTGCTGCTTGTGGTTGTTTGTTAGCGAATAGTTCATTCACGTTATCCTGTTTTTATTTTTTTTAGTACATAGGCGTAAGAATTACTTTAAGAATATCCATTAAGGTGTTTTCGTTTTGTTAAAGTGCTAGTGGGGGAAATGAACTTAGATGTCAGCCGTAATTTCGTCTTTACCTTTAAAAATATTCTAAAATAGCTTTGTGCCCCTCGGGATCTCCGTCTCACGTCCGAAGTTCATTTATTTAGGAAACATTATTTGAAGGCATACTATGTTCCAGGAACTGTTAAAGATACTTAAACAAAAATCTCCCATGTTCTCTTGAACCCGCTGTAATTAGGTTTTGTTCCCTACCAATCCAGTGTAAAATCATTAATTTCAACAACCTAGGTTCAAAATATATAAATCAGAAACTTTTAGAACAGGAGAAATTGACAGTTACTATCATAGTGGGGTATTTTGAGATACCTCTTACAGAAAAAATCAAGTCAATAAAAATCTGCTTGGGATATAGAAAAAGAAAAACACAGTTAACAAGCTTGATTTAATAGGTAGATATAGTACAGTAGACCCGAAATCAGGAGATAACCATTTTTTAAAAACATGAAACAGTACAAAAATTGATCCCATTAATGATCTAGTAAGGAAGAAGAAAGACAAGAATGGCAGGCAGCCCAGTTAGCAGTGAAAAATCCTGATTCTGTCTGTCTTTTAATAAATTAAGCACAATAATTAGCATATATGTGCCAAACACTATACCTTTATCTCCTGTAATCTTTCCATACACCCTAATGAGGTAGGTAGTGTGACCCCATTTTATAGCTTTTACATTTTAAAGGCTTTAAGAAGCATAATGTCTCATAATAAGGGGCAGAGGATGTATTCAAACCTAGGTTTTTTTCTTAGAATCCAGAGCACAAAGTTCTTCGCAGTTGGCTCCTTTTATTATTACTCTGCTTTTTTCAAATCCTTCTCTCCTCCAAGACTTGGTTTTCTCATTTATAAAATGGAGTCAGTAACCACAGCCTCCTTCACTGAGACCCCCAGGAAGGCAAAGTAGGCTAAAGTGTTTTAGAAACTTTCCGGTGCTCTCTAGGGTTGAAGGTGATTATCACTGAAATGTGGTGCTCTGTACTTAGAAGATGTCAGGCGGTGTTTGTAGGGATGAGTTGAGGGGCCTTGGCAGTGGTTAGTGTGGGGACAAAGACAGTCACATCGTATTCTGTAATTTAGAATCCCTAGAGAATGATCACATTTTCTCACTTTATACAGGGTGGTGGTGAGAGCTTGGGATGTGTGCTGAATGGCATTCTCCTGACAGTGGTCAACCTTCCCACAAGCATATACCCATTATTCTTTCATACAAACTGTAGACATACACACAGTCTGTACCCTCTCAAAGCATGTTCCCACACAACCATAGTCATTTGTAGCATGTATTCACCCATTACTGCCTGTATATTGCATTATTTCCATTTTTTTCAGTTCATATATATTTAAAACTTTTTATTTTAGAATAATTATGGATTCACAGGAATTTGGAAAAATTGTACAGGGAAGTCTCTTCACCCTTTACCCAATTTCTTTCTATAGTAATGTCTTGCATAACTAAATTTTGTAATTTTCAGGATTAGACCCCGTACATATTTTGTTAAGTTTATACCTAAGTATTTAAGTTTTTTGGGAGGATCATAAATGATAGTGTGTTTTTAATTTTAATTGTCATGTGCTTGTTCTTTAGCGTGTAGCAAATCAATTGATTTTTGTCTGTTGATCTTGGATCCTTTGACCTTGCTGAACTCACTTAGTGGTTATAGGTGGGTTTTTTTTAAAAGCTTCCTTGACATTGTCTACATAGACAATTGTATCATCTACAAATAGCCGCAGTTTTCCTTCTTTCTTTCTGATCTGTATCCCCTTTATGTTTTTTCTTACCTACTGCCCTAGCTAGAACTTCCCGCACTATGTTGAATAAGAGACGTGGGAGCAGACATGCTTGTTTGTTACTGATCTTAGGGATAAAGCCTTCAGTCTTTAAGTGTGATGTTGTTTTAGGTCTTTAGCAGTTTGAGGAAGTTCCTTTCTATTCATGGTTGGCTGAGCATTGTTATCATGAATAGTTGTTGGATTTTGTCTAATGCTTTTTCTATAACAATTGATTTGGTCTTAATATTTTTCTTCTTTAGTCTGTTGATATGGTAGACTATACTAATAGGTTTTCAAATATTGAACTAGTCTTGCATACGTGGAAAAAATTCCACTTGGTCATGGTGCATTATCTTTTTTATACTTTGCTGGATTTGATTTGATATTTTGATGAGGATTTTTGTATCTAAGTTCATGAGAGTTATTGGTCTGTATTTTTTTAATTGTTGTTTTGATACTGTCTTTGATTTTGGTATTAGGGTAATACTGGCCTCATAAAATGAGTTGGAAATGAAAATGAGTTTCCTCCTCTTTTATTTTTTGGAAGAGATTGTGTAAAATTTATGTTAATTCTTCTTTAAATGTTTGGCAGAATTCTCCAGTGAAACAGTCTGAGCCTACAGATTTCTTTTTATTTTAAATTACAAGTTAAGTTTCTTTAATGGTTTATGACTATTCAGATTATCTATTTTATTTTGGTTTGTTTTTGGTCTTTCTGGTTCTCACTTCGAAGTTGTCAAGTTTATGAATGTAGAGTTGTTAGTAGTATTCCCTCTTTTTCCTTTTTACTGACTGCAGGCTTTATGGCGATATCTTCTGGCTTGTTCCTGGTGTTGGTGATTTGTGTCTTCTCTCCTTTTATGCTAGGGATTTATCAGTTCATTGATTTTTTTGAAAAACAAGGTTTATGTTTCGTTAATTTTCTCTTTTATCTGTTTTCAATTTCATTTGTTTCCTTTTCTTATGCTTTTGTTGCATTCATTTTTAGTTTGTTGGGATAGGCTCATAGATTATCATTTGAAACTTTTCCTCTTTTCTAATATAAGCATTAAGTGCTAAGGATTTCCCTCTCAGTACTATTTTAGCACAAATTTTGACATCCTGTATTTTCATCCTGAAGTTCTATTTATTGTTTTTAATTTCCTTTTAGTTTTCCTCCTTAGAAGTGAGTTGAAGTGTTTGAAGATTTTCCTGTTGTCTTTCTATTATTGATTTATAGTTTGATTCCATTATCTCAGAGACTGTCCTTTGTGTGATTTCAATTCTTTTAAATTTGTTGAGGTTTGTTTTATGACCCAGGATATGGTCTATCTTGGTGAATGTTCTATGGGTGCTTGAAAAGAACGTGTATTCTGCTGCTGTTGGATGGAATGTTCTATAAATGTCAATTAGATCTTTTTGGTTGATAGTGTTGTTCAGTCATTCTGTATCTTTGCTGATTCCCATCTCGTAGTTCTAACAATTGCTGACAGTATGGTGTTGAAGTCCCCAACTGTAATTGTGGGTTTTTCTACTTCTCCTTTCAACTCTATCAGTTTTTGCTTCATGTATTTCAAAGCTACTTTTTGATGCATACACATTTATGACCACTATGTCTTCCTGATGGATTGACCCTTTTATCGTTACATAATTTTCATGATGTATCTTTTTCCACTATTTTACTGTCAACCTACATATATCATTATGTTTGATGTGAATTTCTTGAAGAAAGCATATAGTTGGGATATTTTTTTAAAAAAATCCATTGTGCCAATACCTGTCTTATTTATTTATTTATTTTGAGGAAGATTAGCCCTGACCTAACATCTGCTGCCATTCCTCCTCTTTTTTGCTCAGGAAGACTGGCCCTGAGCTAACATCCATGCCCGTCTTCCTTTACTTTATATGTAGGATGCCTGCCACAGCATTGCTTTGATGTGTATTAAGGCTGCCCCAGCTAGAGAAGCCCAAGGTGACCTGGCCTACATGCCAAACTATATGACCCAGTGGACTTTTTTTATGGTATGAATTAGGACTGCCCCTGGGAGAGAAGCCCAGGGCATCCTCACCTGCATGCCGATCTATATGGCTAGATTCATATCTAAAGTTATATGACCGCACAATAACCAGACCCCATCTGCACTGAAATCATTTAATGACTTTTTACATCATCTTTTCTTTTTTCCAGTAAAAATAAGTC